AACATCGAACTTCAAAGTGAAAATTTAATCCTTAATGATAATAAATTATGCAAATATTTTACATAGTTATACGCTTGCATATAACTTAAAAGTTCTATACAAATGTAGTTTGAATTATCTTATAATTATATTTATCATTTCAAATAAGAAAAAAACAAAAAAAAAAACAACAAATCATTCGAACTGTTATCAACGCAAACAATTTTAATGTTTAAATCCCTTTCTAATTAAGTGGTGAAAATGTGCCAATATAAGGAAAGGTAAAGACTTAGTAGACCTAATGTTATTCTTATAGTTTCCAATATTCCTAATCACCCTTAGGGTCTGTTGCCTGCCTTTTAACTTTTGTCTTTTGACGTCTTATCTATGATATGCAGGCTTTACAACCTCTAATCCCCTTCCAAAATTCCAATTTGTTTAGTTCTACCCATTGTGTTTTGTTTAAGTGCACACTTACTTTTTTAGTTAGGGAACGTACGCCATTTTTCATGAAATGACACTACTGTGTCACACTGAAGGTTCTGTGATACCCACCGTATGAGCACATCTGCGGATGTTTCAAAATTCAAATTGTCCCAACTTTCATGTTTAAATGTTGGATTCTGCTGAAGCCGGTGCTAGGACGTGTGGACGGTAGTTTGCACTTGATAGTATCGTCCATTACCAAGCTCAGTCAAACCGAACCTGCAACATTTTTCAGTTTTGCTGTTTTTAACTTTCTTTAGGGATTCTTATTTTCTCTATTTTATATCTTTAACATATCATAACGCCATATACAACTTTGGACCGGCTATCCCTTTTCTCCTTACGAATATTTCAGAAAAGTATAGCATTAAGCTACCGAAGTTTAAATTAATTTTAAGAAGGTAAACATTCTAAAGTGGAAACGTAGAAAAGGAATAAACTTTCATGTGATGTACATTCAGACACCAGGCAATTGCTCTCATATAAAATACAATAGCACAACACTTACATGCAACACAGTTATAAATCACTCACAATCAAACACATTATACATGTACATAAGGAATTGCATTAACTGAATGGATGCATTTTCATGTTGTACATGACTTACTATCAGATTCTATAACATCACATAACTATATAAAAAAATGTCTGTAATTAGCGGAAAATTCTACCAATATGACGGATAACGGTTGTCATGTAAAGGTCAATCAAACTAAGTCTGCAATTTTCATGTAATTTCGTTGTTATAAATGCTTCCGAGGGATCATGCTTTTTCCAGATTTAAACTATTTCGTACAACGTTATTGACAGCCTAAATATTTGTATTTCTACTGGTTGGGGTTTTCGTCGCACCAACACAGTATAGGTGATGTGGCGATTATCCAGGTTTAATGGTACAGGAAGACCTCATGTGCCCTTACGTGCATTTTTTCAGACTGAAATGGGCACTTGAGTAGAATTCCTGACGAAAGGTAGCTGGATAGTTTCCTCACTTGACATAATCCAAAGCTCCTATTGGCCTATTGGGGTTCGACTGTAAATAGTGAGGCGCATGTGGTTTGAAGTCAACGGCCTGAACCATTCAGCTATGGACGTCCCTCTAAATGTGTTTAAAAGGTGTTTTAAAGGTAGTAAGCAAAATCGATGGGCGTGCTAAGCAGCAAATTAAACATTAGTATGATCTATTCTAAAAAAGAAAAAATGTAAAATTGTTATCTAACATGATCGAAATTGGTTGAAACTAATCTATGCCTTTAAAAGTAACAACGTTAAAATAAAAGATAAAAAAATATAATTTCAAAAATACATGAAAACAAAACACACAAACAAAAACAGAATCTACTCAAAGCAAATTTCATAAGTTGTCTTAAAGGTGAAAAAGAAAAGGTTACTGCAAAAAGTGCTTCATCTGCACGTATCACGCCCCTAGCACCGTTTAAAGCGGTATTCAGACCTCAAAAAAAGTTATGCAACTTAACAACTATAACATTTAAAGTTTAATAATATTTCCATATTTTTACTTTTGTTTTATTCTCCTCTTTATAAAGTGTTTTTGGTCTTATACTGAAATTCAAATAGTTTTATTGCATTAATCATACAACATATATTTAAAGCATCAACAATACATCTTTTGGCAGAAAATATGTATTTCTAAAAATACAACTTAGAGCAAAAATCACAGTTCTGTGTGAAACATACATAATAAATGATATTTCTGAATTTCGGTCGTTAAGGAAAGAATAAGTGTAGTACAAGTTTATTTCTATGATCATGAATTTCTTTCTATCAAACATTGCATTTACGCAGCATCAAATTGTAACTGACCTTATTTCTTTGTAGCAATTCATGAACTTGAATGCACTAAATTTATACTCAAAACAAAAATATTCACGAAATTCAAATTTGTTATCAAAATGATTTTGTCTGTATTCACTAGCTTCGTTTTGAAATACTATCCACACTGTTTTATTGCAACAGTATTTTTCTTAATTTTATGCATATCTGCACATGTATTATAACACATGCATTTATGTAATATCCATCTAAATTTTGACAGCTATGGGATATTGTTAGTGTTTGAAAACCCTGAAGGAACGAAATTTTAATTAACGGATTGCAAAATTAATTAAGAAAGTAAAAGCCCTCGTGTCTTTCCACAAAGTTTATCTTATTAAACTAACTGAACCTATATCGCATTTCTTGTATACACGATAATTGTAGAAACATACGTCTACTATACGTGTTTAACATTTCCCCCGCTCTTCTAAATTATCCAGAAATATATTTCATTTTCGTTCAGAACATCCGTTTTAAATGCTCTATTCATGTGGCAAATAATTATATAATTTCGACTGTCACAAATTCGTGTCACGATAAAAAATTGTCGAATGTTTTTTTTTAAAGGACAACAGTCTTAATTGTTTCACTTTTGGTAAAAATATTAAATAATTTTACAGAATTAAACGATTGATTATTGTAATGTATATATAATTTACAAAGTTTGTTATTTTACTTGTTATAGACATTGTTTTAGTTTCAATGTGACATTCAGATAAAAAATAAATAAATCCCTAACGATCCCTAAAGAACGTTAAAAAACGAACCAAATTGAAAATGTTGCAGGCACGGTTTTGATTGAGCCTGTTCATGGACGTTTCTGGAATGTGCATGTTACCGTTCACGCCCCATAGCACCGGCTTACGCAGTAGACCTTCATTTATTCTGTCAAATGTGCTTAAAACGGATAAATAATCATACAACAGACTTACTACAATTTTACAAAAATACTAAATAGTTACATCATGCTTTGGTTTCATATATATTGCTTCACCTTATTATATTTTATCCGCTGTTAATGAGCGACGGTTTTGTTTGTATGTGTGTTTGAGTTTAACGGCACATTGATACATTACTGGCCATACTGCGCCGAACATTATAATTATTAGCATAATATTTATTAAACCTAAAATGGGTTTGTACAAGGTTATTAAATGAGTAAGTTAAATCTTAGAATACATATTCATTTATTTTAAGCAGTCTATACAGATATTAATTTTTGATACTCTTTGTCTTAAATATACTCGGTAATTGGCAAAGTGTGTGTACTTACTCTCTTGTGCCAAACGTATTTATTAATTAACTTAACATCTAAGAAAGTATTTGTTTGTTATACAAGTATGTGACTCAGCAAAGAGAAATGATTTCGAGCTAAGATTTACAAACATAGTGAACGAGTAGTCTCCCTTACAATATCAAAAGCATACCTGGAAATCCGCTAAGGTGGAATAGTATATATAAAAAAGATTTGATATTATCTGTAAATTAGTAACTAGTAGTTCTCTTTTGTTTTCATATAGCTTAATATTCATTGATGTATAATATTTTGATAATGTTTTAATACTCTTTGATCTATTAAGATGATTTTAGCTCGCATGTTTGATGAAATGCCCTAATGGTAAAAATATAGTGAACTGGATGAAAATGATAAAGGGCCGGAAAACTGCTAGGGGCCGGAAAACTGCTAGGAGACCAGTAGGGAAAGTAACTTTGATCTCTTATTTCGTCTCAGTTCGATGTTAACACTGCACTTAAAGTAAATTTCACCTCACACTATAATGTCATTAAGTGATTAACATAGTGGGTTTGCGACCAGCATTGATCCAGACCAGCCTGCGCAAACGCGCAGTAAGATCAGGATCCATGCTGTTAGCTTACCAACTCTGTTACAAGTGGAGAAACTGACAGCGAACAGCATGGATCCCGATCAGACTGCGCGGATGCGCAGGCTGGTCTGGATCCATGCTGGTCGCAAACCCATTATGTTGGTTTTGTCATGACGCGGCTCAAATGGTGCATGTCAAATTGTTAAGCTAGATATAATGACTTCTGATGAAATAAAATTACAGCTGATGAACATAAATGTGAATTAATATTAGGCATTGCATTGTTCAGAAATATATGTTGGAATTTCAATATCATATTGTCAGTATCTTCTTTAAGCTGTATTTTCAAAATCGACATACTTTTATATATTAAAGAAAAAATTCGATATGACCCCCCCCCAAAAAACTTTAAATACTTTTGTTTAACAAAAATGTAATACATTTTAAACAAGGATATTACATAAGGACTCGATAATGAAAATGATGATCTTTCCCTAATCGGCCATTAGCATGAATCGATTTTATCCACGAAAAAAAACCTCATTATTTTGCATCCATTTCAGCATTTATAGTACATATCAATCTAGGGATTAAAGCTCTAACATGCGATCCGGTATAATATGGAAATATTTTTTACTTTATACACAATGTCGGATAAAAAAGTGAATCGATCCTTCGATAATTAAAAGAAACGTCGTATGGGGTTTCCTTGTACTTTTCAATATTATATAAAATCAATAAAGATATTTGTTTAATTTATTATTTATAATTTGATACCATTGGTTTCATTTCAGTTAGTTCTTAAGTAACTATAAATTAATATTAGAATATTGATAAACTTTATACGATAATAGGCCGTTCACCTTTTGATCTTTTCATAACCATACGAGCAGGGTAAACTATTGGAAATCTATATGGAAACAAAAAGTATAGACTTTGACATTAATTAAGGAATTACGGAAGACACGACGTTGCTTGGTGCTTTTGATTAAAATTACAATTACAGGTAATTATTTTTTTCTTGCGTTTTATCAATAATTTCAAATACAAATTAAAGACTATGTATGAATAACCGTATTTTATTCAGTTATTTTGAGAAAGTAATTGTATTTAAAAACTGATCACATGTTACATGTACACCAGCTGTTGACTTTACATATTTTTCATTTTCTAATTCAAGTTTTTTAAAACATAAAATAAAGAGTTTCCCTTTATATTCTTGGACTTAAGCAATTTTAACAAAATTATAAATAAACGCTTTTTAGTTGATAACCATTGAACTTCAGTGAACTTAAGGAAGAATGAAAAAAGAATCATTCATCATTGCGCTAAATTTGTCCATATTTAGAAGAAATACTCATGTTGACCAATGTGTACAGAAAAAACAAACCACTCTCCACATTTCAAAAATATTTTAAAAAGGATAAATAAAAAATGTGACAGTTTTAAGTGCACAGATTTAATTCATATAATTTAATTGCTTTATACATTTTATAGATTAAATAAAATAGAAACCTTAAACATGTCTAAAAATATGACATTTAGTTTTGCGAACTAGATGTGAAGCTACGTAATTTTTCATACTTAACATTAAATATATATAGAAACACGATTATAAGAATTAAAACAGACTTACAAAAATATTCTTAGATATTAAAACTAATCATCAGAATAATTCGTGTCATCAATAATATATGTAAGATGATGTAAGTTTGTTTGGGAACTACGTGGACAACACGAAAATAAAGTTTGAAAGGAAATATTTAATATGTGTTTAATATATTTTCAGAATGAATCTCATATCTACTTTATCAACTCTAATCTACATTTTAGCAGGTGAGTTTTAATGTACAACAAGATTTCACAATGATTCTTATATAGAAATTTACCCAAATATAAAACAGGGTCATATTTCGATCAAAGGAAATGCGAAATGATGTTAATGTCATCAATTTCGTCCAAATTTAAAATGCCTTTACTTTTTGATTTCACATTAAAACAGTTGGCACTTATATTTATTAAGACGATTTTCACGTGATGTTACCATAATTGGTGTTATGAAATATTTTAATTGAAACATACACACAGAAATTGTATGACACACAAAATGATAAATCAAACCCGAAAATAATACCTCTTTTTCTAAATAAAAGATTACATATTATTTTATTGTATTAAATTGTATTTCGCCTTAATATTTTAATTTCGTATACATTTAATTTTGATGAATTTGATTGAATGTGGTTATCAGTGGTGTGTAATGTTCAGTGTGAAAATGCATCAATATAATAACCATTGCAGACGATGATTAATATTATGCCTCTTATATATTAAAGTAATATCAACATGCCAAGCAATCACGCAACGTCGTATATACACTTTATTCACGAACACCAAAACATGGAATGAGGCTAGTGCAATTTGTAACAGCCAATTTGGGCAGCTGGTCAAGGTTCAAAGTCATAGGCATATAGATGAATTAGAGCATTTGGACAGCACAGAATGGGGCAATCAAATGAGTAATGCGTATGTACAACCAATTCTATAAAATGAGTTTATCAAAATATTATCATAACGATCTTAACGTTTTAGTATGGAAAAGGAAAATATTTAAAAAAGAAGTAATGCCACTTGGACTTGTTTGCTAAACGCATCATACAATGTTTGAACAAAATGAGTGTATATTTCTTACTTAAATTGTAAACAACGTAAACTTAAGAAGCACGAGACATTGCGATCACTGGTAAAATGCCTTTTCATAATTATTTTCTCCTTCCTTAAACAACGACTCTGCAAATACAGGATTTTAATATTTGAGATGATAAGACATTTGGTTAAAAACAACGATTACACGTTCAATTTAATATATCACTAAAAGACAAAACTGAAATCACCGTCAACTCCATTTATACGAGTACATACACATTTAAACATTGTCTAAAATATTGACATGATATCATGACTTCTTGGACAAAGTATTAATAATTGCTTTAATTCTTTAATTATGTGAAAAAAAGAGAACTTATTATGGTCTTAGCTAAATTTATAATTAATCTGAAGTTTAGAAAAGTTTTACAATATGATCAATTATCACATGGCAGTTTTAATTACCATTTTGCTTTGAATATTAACATGGCACCAATTGTTTGAATATTAACTATAAATCGTTTAATACAAAATCTTTCTATGAGTGGAATATTAACATTGAAATTGTTATTTCAAATATGTAAAATAGGGCCCCGTTTTGGACAGGACTTCATCAGCCATTCAGCATGAACAACACATGGGAGTATCAAGATTGTGAGGCTATGTCCTCTAGTATTCCTTTCTCAAACGCTCTTTCTGGGGCTAAATGTGCTACATTAGATGGTGTCAATGATTTGTCAGAGGCGAATTGTTCAACTGAGCATATATTTGTTTGTCAACGTTATGAAGGTATGGACTAATGTCTTCTATATGAATGTTGTTTGTTTGTTCTTTTTTTGATAGAAAATTGTTTAGCAACTTTTAGTTTCGAAAAGACAATTTACAAATTGAATTATTTAATTGCAACCTTTTAGAGATTAAAATGTATTTTATTCTTCTACTTAAAAGAGAAAAATTACAAATCTCTGTAAAAAAAACTTAATTACTTTTGAAAGGCCAACCACAGCTTTAACAAAGAACAAAGTCAACCATGTAATCGTTTAATGTTTATATTTTTGTGGTATTTTTGCAAGCTTATTTCTATAATGTTGTTTAATTATTAGTTATTGAAACGACATAAAAATGAGATACTTATCACAATAATGTACGAAACATCCACAACTCGTTATAGTTAAACAGATTGTTTGTGCAAAACGCTTCAATGATGCTCATGATTATTATATACACATAACTAATTTTATATTATTAACAAAATTGAAATTGTCTTAAATATTTACTTACCGGCAATATAATGATATATTGTCTTTCTTAATGTTTAAAAAATTAGACACCCTGTTATAATTTATGTAACTTGGGGGAGTCCATGACCGAGTGGTCGAAGTTGTCCGATTTTAAACCAATTACCTCACAGATTCTTTCAAGTAAGAAAGTTATTCAGTTACCTTACGAAAAGTCGGTGGTTCGACTCTGGAACACTTTTGTGCATCTTTTTTAGGCACAAACAGGCATCTAAGTAGAACACCGACATTCCGTTAGTTAAGTGGGTAGATTATTATAGATGCTTATAACCTGACGAAATTGTCGCTGAATGTGAAATTATTTGTTATAAAAGTGGCAAAATATCAACAACGTAGTATTTTGACTTCCATAAAAAAATTAAAAAAAATATTTCTGTACTAATTTCCTCAAAGTGTAACAGACTAAAGAGATAGTTCAGGTAATTGGCCAATACGTATCTTTTGGAAACCTTTAACATTACATTTACACTTATAATGAACAGATTTAGGGAAACAAAAATGAAAGCTTTTCTTGGGCATAATTGGACTTTAAAGAAATTAAAACTTTAACTAACTAAATTGTACCAAACATCAACTGTTTAATACTGCAATATATAAATATTTTATCCCTTTTATTGACTACATTACGGGGAAAATAACACATTGTCATTGAACATTATACATTTGTGTTTAAAAGTACCTCCTTGAAATATATTAAAGAGACCTGCACAAAGTAAGAAAAGTAAGAAAACATTTACTTTTGTTATAAGAGGACACAGAAACGGGCATAAACGACAAACTAAACATTATAATTCATAGTCCTATTCATATTAAAGATCCTGTATGTTTTGTGATTGATATTGTGAATGTGTGTATACCACACATGCAAAAAATATATATATGTATATAATTATGCAAATAAAACAATTTTCAAACATCGAAGAATATGTAAAATGTGTACTGCAACTATTTGTGCACATTATATTTAATCAATAAATTATATGCATTCATTTCTTATTGGAAAATTTGAGTTAGAATTTATAGAAAATAAATTTCTAATTACCTCCCTTTATTTACATGATATGTTAAACTCGATAATATCTTTATAAATAATGCTTATTGGAACTTACAATATTGTCAAATCTTAATTTGAGCATTATATTTATGAAATAAAACCGTGAAAAAAATGTGTTAAGGGATCTTTAAGGAATGGTATCTTGACGTTGTTTCTTTGTACTCACATTAGCTCAATATTGGTTCTTTTTTTTCTGTAAAACTCGTGAACGTATTTGAAGATGTGAATTTCATTTATCCATAGAAGCAATAACAGTATAAATTTCTTTTTCCACGTTGAATACTTAATATGATAATATTAATTAGCGATTTTTGCTATGATGTTTGACACTGTTTGTGCCAAAAAGAGAAAAGACACACCATAAATCTATATCTCTGTTCATATTTATTATTTTCTTCCCAAATCAAATTGCATTCAAAGAATATTTTGATTATAGTTGTTAGATGGTTAAACTTTAAACGTTTTGATATTGAAAATACTCAAGTTTGCTTTACATAGTTCACAATAGAATTGATGACATTTTCAGGTGATTGCTGGTATGAACCCTTCATTGGGGAGACATACACCGCTCCAATCTATCAAACGCAAACACTAAGTACAGGACTTGAGGCAAGTGATTGTGCCATGGAATGTCGTTCAGGGATAATTACTCCTGATATTGAGTGCTGGGGATTCATTTATGACCCTAGTGGATCGCAAGGTTGCGAGCTGCTTTTCCTTAATGAGATTTCGGCATCATCAACTTTCCTTACAACAGGCAAAAACTATTCAGCCGATCCTGACATGATATTTTACGTGCGGCGTTGTTTTGAAGGTAACTGTTTTCTATTTCCTTCTTTAACTGTTTTATCATTTACGAGAATTTTACATATATGTTACATTTAACCTTTCTTATTCTATATAATAACGAAATAATTTATCACCCAATTTTTTTTTTTGTTTTTATAAATATATGCTTTTGTCGTCATATTTAGGTTCGCTTGACAAGAAGACATACGACTCGTTTTCAAATAAAGAAGAAGTTCCCGAGACAGAATGTACCACAGCACTGTATGGCGGTGAGGAAACAGGTATAAATTATTTTTCAAAGTTATAATAAATAGATATTATGAATCCTTTTTTATATTACGTTCTATATTACGGTCGATATTACGTTGATCTTTCAGCTAAAATTGTAAATCTTCAACACGGATAAAGCAATAATTGCTACATCTTTTATTGTGATTGAGCATAATGATTATAATAATATGAAGACCTTTATGCAGCAACAAAATTTTCCCGACCGATACTTATAACGCGCATATATGTCAAGTCGATATTTATTGGAGAGGTCACTAAAATCCATTTAAATTAATTTGTTTTCACTGAATTTTTAATGATGCTATTTGATTTAAATTCATACTTTATTTCATGTTTGCATTTTTTTATTTACACATTTTATTGCTATAATAAACGTGGAACACACGATTTCGTTATTAATTTTATATTGAATATAGAAATGTTTTAATTAATAGTAATAACTGGAACTTGAACATTTTGCATATTAAATGTTTTATCATATTAATATGTATCCATGACGGACTCGAATGTGATGTATAACCTTAAAAAATGGTACGGAGAAATGCGATATCAGAAATACGTCTAGCTTATTTTTCCTGTAATAACACATATTAATTACAATGAATTTAAATGAAAATAATACCTTTACTAATTATCAAATTACTTGACATAGTTGCACTTCTGCTTCAAATTTATGTTTGTTAGCTGCTCAAGTTTGCTTTTGCTCAACACAAGAACACCCTCCAATACCTGAGCCTGTATCTGTGGAAGAAAAGGCACAGAAGTACATCGAGGAATTAACCATAGACACGTCTAACACAAGTGCCGCTATCAATAAACTTACCTCTGCAGAAGACAACAGACCAAGTGCTGTAGGGGTCGGGTTAGTCTTGTTTAATGTTCATTATCTTTTTATAAAACATACATAGTGAAATATAAATGTAAACAGAGCATTTTGAAAGACAAAAGGGTATGGTAAGAGCACATTCAAAAATAAAATTCAACACATGTAATTCGTAATTAAACAAATAATAGACCTGCAAAGAGTTTATTGCTATCAGTTTAAGTACATGTAGATAAAGAAATATTACATGTTGTATATATGTACAGTGAGTGATCAGTAAATTTATTCCTTTTTCTTGGAACGAAATTTGAATGTGCAATAACTTATTTTACAGATTTGTTGGCGTAGGATTGCTTTCAGCAATATTTGGCGGACTAGTCTTGATGGATCTCAACGTGTTGTATGCCGGATTAAAAGAATTTTTCAAACTGATCTGTGACAATCCAAACCCACAAAGTCCTCAGAGTACTGAAACACCTGTCGAAACAAATTGTTGAATTCAAAACTATATTGTAACAATATATGAATAATGCGACGTGATATTTTTTATGATTTAGTGATTGCTTTTTGAAAATATGCAGAGCATTATGTGCATTTGTACTCTTATGCTGCCAGTTCGAATTTATTATAATTTTATTCTCTGTCTTCTGTACTAATTTACCACGTCAGGCGACAACACACTTATGTACATGTTCAGATTAGTTGATATTTTCTGGACGTAAAGATAAAAAATGCATGTGGCGTTTAACATTTGACCATTTTCAAGAAAACAACAAAATCATCACATTTAAATGTTACTGGCGTATGACTTTCTTAGGAACAGAACAGAACAGAACAGAAAGTTTATTTTGACGTATACAAAGTACATAGTCAATTACATTAATACATTCATTCATACATACATATATACAATCACAAAATCAATGGATAGTCTGCAAATTTCTTGAAGGTGAACAGTTTAATCTATTTTGTTTCCTTCAGTATAGGATATGACATAATCAGTTTAACATATATTACATAGTTTAATATTGTGTTACGAACATGTTGACAAAGATAGCGTGAATTTCACATGCATTATTGTGCCACTTGCAATAAAGTTATCTATATATACGTAATCAACATCCGATACAAGTGAATAACCAACTATAGTATCACACTATATACTTTTTTGTAGGGGAATAGTACTCCAAAACTACAGTTAACCTTAAACGAAACGAAAGGGAAGGTTAACAATTGGCTATTCCAAAAAATATTTCGATTGCAAACTTGTAATTTAAAAAAAAAGCCTTACGACTAACTTGGGTCATAAGACAAAATAATCTACTTAATACATTTCTTAACTGTGCACAGTCATAAGACATATAACTAATAATCTATTTAATTAGAACTGTACGGTTGACCAGAAACATCCATATAAAGTTTGCTATCTTTTCAACAATGTTTGGCTTACTTATGATATATTTGCATAACTAAATATAACTCATCATCTATTAAATTAGAACTGTACGGTTGACCAGAAACATCCATATAAACACTATTAAGCTTATTATAAATAACATCTTATTTACAACATCAAACTATAAACATACATATATACAAACTAACACAGTCTGGTTGACCAAAGCAACCATATAAACACTAACCGGCACATAATAAATAGAGCACGTTCAATATTTCAAGACAATTTTACACTAATTGATAGGAGTAAGTTATGAAATGACGAAAGCTAGTCTGTCGTACTGGTATATGGCAACGTCTTCTTTTGTTTCTCCTGTTTGAAGTAGACATATATCGTTTTATAACAAAACATTGTATGAGTTTACATAAGTTTTGTTATAAAAATATAAATGAATTGAAATTATTTTGTTCCCTTATATTTTAAACTCCATTTCCAGGCAACTTATAATTCTTATTTTTGTTTTGTTTTAACTGACTAGTTTGTGATAATAATTTCACATACTAAATAACATCTAAAGCGTTATATGTGCATTTCGAAAGCAGCATACTTGATCCATGCTAATTTTCATGAGATTGTTGAAATTGTATTAAAAAGTATAATATTGTAGAGTGAACAAAGGAAGTAATATACAAATTGCAAACGGTACCTACGACCCATGTAATAACCAAAAAGAGTTCAAAATTTGCATAAGATATCCCATACTGAGTCACACAGTAGAAATATGGTGGTTAATACTGCAAAATCAGTTCTTAATCGCACATACATGTACCAAATTATTACACGAATCTTAAGTATGTCAATTTTCTTAAAATCTTAGTACACTTTTATAAAGTTTGATGTTTTGACACACTTTTCGCTAATTTGAAGGCAAACATCTTTAAATCTCATTGTTACAGTATATAATTGAAATTCAATTTGGTTATCAACACAGTTTGTTTCGCAGACGACTAATAAACTCTTAAAGCGGGAACAATTTTGTATATTATTATTATTCGAACCATAGAATTCAATTGAACACGTTTTATGATTATTTATTATACTTCTTCATACATGTATGCTTTAAGCTAAGAAATTGCATTATCTCTTTATAACCGATATTTGTTATTATTTGAAAAGCTTTGTATTATCTGAAATTTATTTTAATTCTTTAATTTATTACAGTCAAATGCCAATCAAGTCCAAAAATGAAATTACTTTTATTTTTCAGAAACTTTTTTTTAAATTTTGGTTCCCTGCTACGGGTTCCAAAAAGAAAAACCCGCCTCCGTGGTCGAGGGGTTAGAGTCGATGACTTCTACTCCAGTTACCTCTATGGCGTGGGTTTGATCCCCGGGAGATGCTTTGGTAGTTTAGCGCGGAGGAAGGTAGTCTAGTACTGGTGTCACTCTCCAGGAACGATGGTTAGGAAATTACCCGCCTATATGACTGAAATACTGTTGGGAAAAAGCGTAAAATGAAACAAACAAACAAACAAACAAACAAAACAAAACAAAACAGGTTCCAAAGAGTAACTCATTAACCATCTCTTGCATTTTGGAATATAGTACATTATAAGTGATTTTGTATTTTGTTTGGAACTCGATAAACTACTTTGTTTACGTTTCGCTACGTTTTTACCAAATTACTTCACATTTAGCATTATTGTCCTTAGGTAATAATCGTCAAGCATGTTGTAAATCAATTATTTAGAGTGTAAAAACATGTTTGCCTTTTCGAAAGAAGAAAAATGTAATTATTTGCAATGAAAGCAATATTAAGTAATAGACTAAGGACCTTTATGTATCATAGAGAATGCATAGCATGAATTTCTTAATCCCTTTGTAAACATGAGGTTTGTCGTTGTTAAGGAATCTATCTATATATACGATCGATCTTAAAATAAAGCCGAAGCAGTCTCTGTGATATTGTTAGCAATTCTGATAATCCATATTACTATAGAATGTCTTTGAAATTCATTCATTAAAGATAATAATTACTTCCTTTGTCTGTCACGAAACGAATATGGCTAAAATCTATAAGGTCCTGCTTGAGAAAGGCGAAATATTGTTAAAAATAAAAATAATTGGTTGCATGAATATCGTTTTCTTTCTTGCATATAATAATAATTGAACATATTGCTTTCATGTATTGATTTTAATTAAATTTATGTGAAACGAATATATCTAAATTTTAAATAATTATTATTGCTTAGGCCATGAACGGATACAGAATGTGTGTTTGATATTTGGATAATCTATATACTTAGTTTAAAAACATTTTATTTATTTCAAAATAAAAAATATTTTTTATTGACTATTGATATTTTTAAGCAGTTCAATTTAAATTAAATTTACCTTTATTTAATATTGATATTTTTAATGAAGAAAAGCGCGTTAGAAATGTTATATTCATGTGTGTTGTTTATTCGTGTGTTTGATATGATGAACTTGAAATACGAGGAATCGGAAATGATACAGTCAATGATTTAAAAAAGTTTTATCCAAATATGTAATAGTACGCATTAGGAAAATTCGTTATAACCAAATCTGTAAAATAGTGATAGGAATTAAATATTTTACTTCCCTTTAATAAAAGCATAAAAACAAGCATTGCTGTTTTCACAAACGGTTTATTCATATGACGATGGTATTTGGTAATTAAAGAAGCGAACTCGAGTTTGTTTAAAATAATAATTCAAAATGATAATAAAATAATTTAAAATCTAAATCAATGATTCACCCACTGATTCAGTAGACTGTGTATTTCTAACAATTCACTCACTGCTTACTGCAGCTTCTGTTTGCAAGCTATTAGAAGATTCTAGGAAAATTAGAATAAGCTATTATATCTAGTTATGACGAATAACATAATTATTCACTTTAAATAAAGGTAAAATATATTTTAAAATGTTTATGAAGTCATTTCAGCTTGTTAAATATAAAGTTAAAGTACATAAAAAGCATAGGCTTTCAACATACAATCATCAATTGTAAAGTCAAAAAGTAAGAAAATTATGAAAATAAGCATATCGACACTTTTTTGTTGATAATTGTAAGTGCATTGAAAACCAATAATGTTAAAATTGATAAAATAATTAAAAGTTTCATTGTGTTCTAATACTTTTCTATATCTTACTCGTCTGTTACATTTCAAGAACAGAATTAGTTTAATCGTTTTATTTATTAAAGAATGGAAATAATGGCGAAGATTCTCTCAATTTTTCTCGCTTTCCTAACATGTAAGTACTTACATTTTGTTCTAGTTAGTTGTAGCTACTTTCAAATGGTATATCATAATACAAATTTATAAATCACATAGCTACATTATGTCTCTATTAAAATCATATATGCATATGCAGAAACCTTTGAATCACAGGCTAAAAAGGCAAAATAAAACAACAACAATAACAACAACAAAACATTATCTGTATAAAGAATAATACCAATTGGAATAACGTTTAAAAAAGGGCCAAAGCTTTTATTGTCATGAATGAACCAAATGGACATGTTTGCAACACTGCCCTCTCTTAAGATAAAGTCATGTTTAATGTTGAACTACTAATTTATATACTTACTTTTGGTGTTTTCGAGTGGCTGATTACAGTGAGGGGTTGTCAAGAAGAAAGATTTACACGTTATATTCTGCGAAAAAAACATGGAACGAAGCCAAGGCCATATGTGAAAGTAAACAAAGCCAACTTTTAAAAATAAAGAGCGCAAAACATTATGAGGAAATTAGTTATCTTGATAGAATGGAATGGGGAAATCGTGTTATGAATGAGTAAGTTTAACAAACATAGAAGGAAATTTTTTATGTTTTTTGTTCAATACTGGTACATGTACTTATGTTTTGTACATACTTAATCAAAGTTTATTTAAAATAATACATCTCTTTTGACAATGTAAAAATATTTATTGGCGGCAATTTCTAACTTTTGTTTTTTTTCCATAATATGAACTCGGTTTACTAATTTTATAAAGTAATTTTGTCGTTTTGAGCATTTTTGAAAGTGTTGTAATAGAGTCCATGTGAAATTCACAAAGTCATCAGTGATAATCGAGAGGAACACTAGTTTGAAATTTTAACAGAATTTATAGAAACAGCTTGTTAAATATTTCAGATTTGCATCTTCTTCTGGTATGTGGTCACCATTACATAAGCCTTTTTGGAACACTACCTGGACATACCAAGACTGTGAACCATACTCTTTGACTGTGCCAGGTACATCCGTAAAAAAATGCTCAACATATCAGCCAAACTCCATTATAAGTTCTGCTCCTTGTGACGAGGAGCATATCTTCATTTGTGAAAGATTTGAAGGTATCTTTTCGTTTGATCCGATTATAAATTATTCCTTCATAATAGAAGTGCAATGCGGGATACCTGGGCTTTTCGATTATATATATTATTTCAATATGACCGGTTCGGTTCTGCATTATTCTTTGTAACAATTTTCATGTCTATTATTCAATTCCATTCTAACTAAACATATAAAACATTACATAAACCTTAGATCTTGCCATAATTGCTTTAAATTTTATATGTTCGTGTGAATAGTCAATAGCCCATGACTCACATAAGTTTTATAAAATTCATTCGAAATGTATTGCGAACGTCATTTGATAAATTGAGTTGGGCAAAATTTTTATATTTTAACCAGTTGTTATATCTTATCCTAAACATGTTTCGTTATCAATTATAAAGTAAATGGCCATTATAATAGTCAATATTTATTTCTATATACATGTATATTGTGTAGCTTATTCAGTCCAACTCTATGACGAAATGCATGATATCGCTTAAATCGTTTCGGATCCATTCTAATACGTTTAAATTACTTTTAACATGTTGAATCGTGTATCGTAACACTTATTCCAATTTAAACCGTAAACAATCATACACTAAGAAGTCTTTTCGTTACAAATAACATCTTGTGTATGTTTTAAAAAGCATCATCAATAATCAACAAACTGTACTTTTAAAATGGTTTGTTCAGCGAAGAGCCAACCATTTGTATATATTTATAATATTGCATCAATAATTCAACTGGGAATTGGGAATTAACCAAAGTAAATTATATAAATACATGTTGCCCTGATCTGAACGATTTCCTCTTTATTTTTGTCAATTGCTTTTTTAAAGATTTTATGTGTGTTTTGTACTTTAAATTGAGTTTTTTTTTCGCAATTACGTGTATGGATATACCTGCGGGACAAACCTATTACTTTTCTACTTTCAAACGATCGGTTTTATATTTTAATAGTCGCAATGTTTTAGTTTTCTCCTACCATGATGTTGCCCCATTCACCCTTTGTTACATGAACTCATGACTGTTCACTGATAAAGTCCTTCACTTATTTATCTACAGGTATATTTTGAACTGTTTCAAATCGATTTTTAATGAGGAAATTCACTTTAAAACATTATTATTTTAAAATCCTGTTCAAATTTAATTAGCTTCAAAGCACGCTTTACGGTATAATTTATTTCCATGTATGATAGTACCTAACGTTTTCCCACAACATTGCATTCGAGTACAAGAGTAATTGCGTTAATAACGATGAGTACATAAAAAAATTAAAAAAGATTCAAACAGTGTTTCACATTGCCACATGTTGCGCCCGTCATAGTCTTAATTAAATGATATTTATATTCAATAATAGTTGTAAAACATTAATTGACAACGGTTAAACCGATGACGAGTTATATGTATTATCCTTATACATAGTGAACCATGTGCATGTTGCTTCCCACGTAGGTCACAGCAGTATTGTCTGGTATAACAGAACTGGTTTGTTTCAGGAATCAGATCGAATTTTATTTTATGAATTCGAGACTGAACAGAAATAGTTTACCAATACAAAAACTTTCATAAAACACTATTTATCGGCCAATATGACATTCGTTTTATTAAGTGCATGTGAAAATCAATAAGTTCCAAATACAGTCTTGCATTAAGCAATAAAACGTATCGTTTTGAATATGAATGTTTACTTTGTACTTTTTACTTTGTTAACACCCTTCGCTTTTTCTGTAATATTTATGTTTAAGCTAAATAAAGAAGAAAGTTAAATGTTAAATTAGGTGACTGCTGGTTTCAACCTTTTTACGAAATGACGACGAAATGGTTTGAGGCTGCTACGTCTGTACCAATAAACGATCCCAATATCAAAGCAGAAGACTGCGCTCTGGAATGTCGCAACCTTTATGATATAAATACCGGCACTGAATGCTGGGGTTTCACGTTCTATCCTGCCGTGCCACTGTGTACGCTTCATGTTAATAACACGCCAACAGCCTCATCTGATTACCTTTACCCAGAAAACAGGGACTATGGTGAACTGAAATCAACATTTTATGTCCGTCGGTGCTTTGAAGGTTTGTTGTGTTCTATTTTATTGCGAAAAGATTTTACAAACGTATTTTTTTCAAACGGTTAAAAATTATTTGTAATAAATAGAAACGTGTTAGGTATTTTTAAGATAAACACAGAGCTAGAAATATGTCCTAACGACACGATTGCCCCCGCATGCAGCCAAATTTTCAAATTTTATGATATTTAGTTCCAATTTTGCACAAACCATTTTTTCATTCTTAGTTCAAGGCCCTTAAACCAGTCAATGTTAATACAAACCATTTATATACAAAGTTTAAGGCGGCCCTTAAACTATTCAGGGTTAACCATTTGCAAATTGCATATTGCAAATAATGATAAGAAATTATGATTTTTTAAATCTTTTCCAAGCTCAAAGGGGATAACTGTCTGTCAAAAACATCTGACCATGACCAACAAGAACCTTCCTTGTATTTTCTGGTAAAAACCAAGATTTACAATGCAAGTCTGGTCATACATTTCCTACAAAAGTTAGAGCAGCAACTGAATATTTTTATTTTTTTCTAAGAAGTCTATGCAGGAAAACTCTGTCAAATATCATCGGACAAAAACCAAATTCGTACTTGACTTATATTTTCTAGTTAAATACCCGCACATGCGATTTAAACCTTATACATTCATTTCTACATAAGTAAGAGCAGAAACTGAAAATTTCATTTTTTCAAAAGTTCATGAGGAATAACTTTGTCCAAAATCATCGAACCATGACCACATTTAAACTTGACTTTCTTATTCCTATGCAGTATCTATATGTCATATTTGAGTTATATGTGTACAAATGTTTGGGAGATGATGAACGGAAACTCAAAATTTCAAAAGGGGTAACTGTCAAAAATCATCAAACCCTGACCAAGTTTTAACTTGACCTGTGTATTCTTATGACATATTCATATGTTAAATCTTAGCTAAATGTAAAACTGTTAGGGAGATAATGAATCGAAACTGATTTTTTTTTCAAAGTTAAAGGGGCATAAATCTGCCAAAAATCATCAATTCATGACATGACCGTATTATAACTTGAACTGAACCATTCTTTTAACGTATCCATATGACAAATTTGAGTTGAATGTGTACAACTGTCGGGAAGATAATGAACAGAAACTGAAAATTTCTCAAGGGGCATAACTCTGTCAAAAGACATCGGACCATTTGCAAATTCGAACTTGATCTGCATATTCCTATGGTGTATCCATGTTTCAAATTCGAGTTGAATGTGTACTACTGTTGCCAAGATAATGAACGGAAACTTATTATGAAAGAATGACGGAACTGGGTAACTCTATATGTCCCGGCCATTTTATGGAGTGTTATTTTTATTTTCAGGAGTAATCGACACAAATATGTACGACAGCTTTTATGACAAAAACGCGGAACCGGACACTTCATGCACGGAAACACCATACGTTTTTAACAATACAGGTAAACGTTACACATAATAGGAGCACGTATAAATAACCCAATTACTTTCCACTTATTTATCCTCCGTCAGGGGTGTATTGCATAACGCGATTGAATTGTCTCAATACACCGGAAGTCGGTGCGAGCACATGCCCTAACTATGTCTCGTTCACCATTGTATATTGTTTCAACGCAGTTGCTACGGAACGATGTCAAAATGGCCGACTTAAAATATTTGAAGGAGATTTTTATCCTGAAAAAGGTCGATGATGCCTTATAGACAACACAGTAACGGCCGTCACAATTAGTAGACGGAGCTTTAAAATATGTTAAATAGATAAATTATTTCGGTGTAAAATAGGACTAAAAAAACAACAATAAAAAACAAAAAACAAAACAATTAGAACAACAAAAACAACGACACCAAATGTATAAAATGACGAAATAAACCACTTCTCCCGTATATATTGCAAGTGAAGTAATTTGACAAATAAATGGCCATTGTTATAGCTCTTGGTGATGCGTGAAGCACCCCTAGCAACGGCTAAAACACTAGCTTGGATTCAAACATGAAAATGGTGAAACTTGACAAGATAGCATCATATTGCTTGATGGAAATAGTCTACCTTTTACACTAGTGAATTGTTAAGTCGGCAAATTAAGTATGTTTAACCATTTTTTATGAACACTAAGTTTTCAGCATTGAATTATTTAGGTAAAATGGTTACCTTAAAGGGAGACACAGGCAAAATTTTCATTTCTTAGTTTTGAATTTTTCATTCATTATTCTGTAAATGCCCTCAAAATGAATATATTAGACTGTCAAAGGAACAAAACGTTTCTCCATATAAAGAATAAAATGGTGGTTTCCTAACTTGACCCGCGTGGGTCAGGTTAGAGCGCTAGGATTTCACAATAGTTGTCAAAGTGGAATCTGGAAACGTTAAAGAACATGTTAAATAAATGACTTAGGCTTGTTTCAATCATACAATATCCACAATATCTGTTATTGTAACTTCAAGGCTTTGTTCAAGTCACCTGACTTGTTATAAAACTATTTGGTGATTCAATTGGCGTCTAAATTTTGCTCAACATATATAGATATATTTACGCTTCAAACCCAAAATAAATAGAATTTATATAGAAATTCATGCTAAAACTTCAAGAAAAGTCATTTTAGCGTGATTTGAGTACATAAGATCTTTTTAATATTTTTGTCATGATTTTGCCTGAATATCCCTTTAAAGAAATTGCAAAATGTCCATTAGTCTCTATTTAATATAATGATTATGCACTTTAAGTAAAATTTCGTTAATGCATATTAGTTTGCGACAAATTATATTTGTAACAGATCTGGGACCGCATTTGTGACACGTAAATTAGCTACAAATAGAACATCATGAACATGATTATAAATTTGTCCTAAATATTACTGTACCAAATTATCATCGTTGCCGATATTACTTTTAATCGGTAAATTGAACCGGTGTAGTTTTAGCATTAAGAAATAGTTTAGAACCGTTTAAGTGTCTGAAACTTCCACTGATTTCTTTTCTGCACTCTGCTATAAGAGAGGACCTTATTTAGTACACTATATATAATTATGTTTCGATAGCATCAAAGTTATACGTGCTTTTTAATTAAGTAATTGTAAAACAAAAATATTAATTCTATTTGTGTGAATATATACTTCTCTTAAATATTCAACTCTTAGTAAACAAGCTTTTGGCTGATATAATTAATTCTATATTGTGTAATGAAGAAGAATATCAATTGTTTATAATAATAAAGATATAACGGACAGCAGTAAAGCAACGCGTTCAACTTAAATCGGCTGCCTTCGGGTTTATCCGTTAACCGATTTATAAAGATAACACATATCAAGGTAAAAAGTGTTGGTGATGATGACGAAACATACATATCAATTTGTTTGAATGGGTACCGAAAAAGAACAACAACAAAAGATGCTTTCAACTACCACAGACATAAGCTCCTCCGTTACTGCTTACTGAAATCATGAAGGTTACCACTACACTATGTATGTGCGTTACACAGTCATGCATGTGCATATTTTATATGCTATGCATATTTTTCAGAAGTAGGATACCTAGTGTTAAAGAGGAACACATCAGCGGATACAATTTATCCAAATATTTACTTTATTTTCAACGCCATATTACAAGTTTAATCTGAAAATAAAACAATGGGCATTTTGCTCTATTCAAATTTTCTGTTAACATTTTTTTTTCATTTCAATTCATATAAATACAAAATTTAGAAAAAGAATCTATCCTGTTTACTCAAACATCTTCCCGTATTGAAATATTAACCAATAGACGTTTGGTGCTTTTCCTTTCAGTATATGATGTGTGCTACTGTCCTGTCCAGGAACAACCCCCTATACCAGAACCCGCTACAAGCGAGGAAAAGGCCAAACAATTTATTAAAAAGCTAACAATCGGTACATCAAGCACAAGTGCAGCTGAACGCAAGCTAACCAGTGCTGAGGACAATAGACCAAGTGTGATTGGAATGGGGTAAACAAAAATTTGTTTTACGGAGCGCTATCGGGTTTAGCAAATGTAGTAGTACTGTCCAATGTTGCATTTCTTTTACAATATAAGGCGAATCATAAATTATTCGGAGTTTTTTTTTGTTCGTTCACTTAGAGAGACTTTATTTTGCTGTGTATACCACATTTGTTTCTCGGTCTTACTTATGAACCTTTTTTGATTTTTCAGTTATGTTGGTATTTTGGTTTTGACAGCTGTGTTCGGAAGTTTGGTTTTACTAGATCTGAATGTGATTTTTGCTAGAATAAAAGACTTCTGTAGCTCATCAACAAGCGTGCAGACTATCGGTTAAGGAGACAATCAGACATATATCATATATACTTGTGATTTAGTAATATTACTCTTGTTTTTTACTTTCAATAAAAGACGTAAAATATGTTTGAATTTGCTACAAGTTAGCCGTAAAGTCTATGTAAACTTTCCTTTTTAATACTTTATTTGTCAAACCTTTTAATGTTTTGATAAAAAGTACTCTACAAATGCATAAAATTGTAGTTTTTCAGACATAGAATTATTATCCGACCAAAGAGTCACTGTAGATCTTTCCACCAGGTCCAGGATGACCATGCCGACTACATGTTTCGCAGCAGTCCAAACCTTTAAAATATAGGTAAAGCATTAAAGAGCATTATCCGAAAATCGACATGTCTCAAACTTATTGCATTTTGTTCTGAAATCTGATGTCATCTGTTAATTTTGAGATTTTATTTTTAAATTATTTATATAGCGATCATATAAGTATCCTAAAATAAAACACGGAATTATAAAAACTGCGTTAAATGTATATTTTAATATATAAAATAATGAAACGGAAGTTTGAAATTTATGATATGAAGTTAAATATATTACCTAATGTTGGGCATCTGGTTAATGCAGCTGGCTCGTCCGGGATTTGAAACTGACACTTGATAGGATCTTTGTCGCCGTACCTACAGTCTGTATATCCAATAAATAAACAAATATATAATAAAACTTATAAATCAGTTTAGAATGAAAATATAAAGGAAGATGAATATCAATTGTGGTGTTATTGCCAAGTATGTATTTTAATAACTAAATAAATAATATCGTTAAAATTCGATAGGTTTTACTCTTTTACCGTTCATAGCAGAGTAATGATAAATTGACAGTTTGAATTTGATTTGAATAAGAAATAGAATCAGCTCTTTTAGATTAAAATTCATTGTGCTATAAGCAATCTAAAGTAACATATATTGATACCTTGAACATATATGTATATCATATTTGCATTTTAAAGGTTTCTTGCAAAAAAAAAAGTAAATTGAAATACAATACCGGTTGCATTTTAATTTAAGAATTATAGAGATTCCATGTTTTTCCCCACTTTGAGAAAAGTCCTATTCGATCAGGCAAACGATAATTGTAATAATGCACATTTAATATCTGTTTCAATTTATACCAAGATTTTCATTTCATTTTACCTTGATTGTCTGAAACTTTGTATTTAGCACATGTTTCACAGCATTGGGCCTCATACGAGAAGCACAAAAATGCAGATGATTTTCCTTGAATGTTAGCTTCACAGAACGTCGGGTTATTATCTCCATATTGACATCCTATATATAATAATTATAGAATATATACATTGTATAATATCTGAATAAAAAACTATGTTAGTGTTATTATTGTTATCATACTCATCATTGAATTATCACTACGCTTATCATTGTATTATATTATTATCATTCTATGTGTGATAATTATTGTTTGAACGTTACGAATGTATTGTAAAAAGTGCAAAGTTATCGAAACATCTTTTTTTCAATTATTCTTCAATCTCAACCCTCTATTTTTATTATACATATTATATCATAATTATTGAAAGACTTAAAGAGAATATATAAACATTCTTAAATTATTATGACAAAATATATTATGTACCGCATTGTATGTAGTGCACGTTATATGCCGGATACATTGTTATATTGCACACAACCATTTATATACGGCCATATAACATGTCAGGAATCTTTATGACGAATTTATAATAAATGTAGGGGAAAATGTGATTTCTTACTAAACTGACAGCAGCCGTGTATATTATTAGTTATAAATATCGTTGACAGGTTATATGGCCCTATATAAACGGCTGTTTGTAAATATAACCCGAGCCGCTAGGCGAGGGTTATATTGCAAACAGCCGTTTATATACGGCCATATAACCTGTCAACAATCTTTATAACGAATTTATAATACAGCAAACATCATTTTTTAGAGAAAAAAGTAAGATTTCTTCATGAATCGACAACAGCCGTATATATAAAACTATATAAACGTCACGATTATCCAATGAAAAGCGACGTTACAAACGTGCAGTATTATAATGTATGTTTTATTCATTGTATGTCGTGTACATTGTATGTAGTGTATATTGTATGAACCGTGCGTTGTATGAAGAGTTCATTGTATTTTATGTATTGAATTTAATGTACATTGAATGGAATGAATGTTGTATGTCGTGTATATCGTATGCAATGTACAGTGTGTCAAATATGAATTGTATTCAGTGTACATTGTATGCAGTGTACTTGGATGAAGTGTATATTATATGCAGTGCACCTTGTTTGAAATTTAAAATGTGTGTATTGCACATTGTGTGTAGTGATACAGTTAAACTCATTTTGACTTTTTACTTTTTGACATGTACTTTTTAGCAGTAAATTTTCTTGATTTTTTTCTCAAATTTTTTAATTAAATGTAGTGTGATTGAAATTAAATTTTAAAAGAAAGAAATTGGACACGTTAATCTCTTAAACACATATCTTTCAAAGTTGTAACAATTTCTATTTATAAAGAATTGGTAATGAACTGGATATTGTTTTATAAAGAATGACGAGTACCTGCAGGACGTGACGTATTCCTGGCCTGAGCACATGATCTGCAGCAGTCAATCTGTGTTTGCAAGTCATAGCAATTACCCGCACCACGAGAGTCATTGAACTTTGTTACACAGCTACTTGGCGCATTGTCGCCATAGACACAGCCTTGAAACGTTATTTTATTGTGGGTTAACAGTATAATACACAGGCAAACACTTACCAAACATTAAAGATAGGCTAGATTGGACTTGTTCATGGTGCAAGTATCGTCCGGTAACAACCAAACTTTAAAAGTATGGTACAAACACAGATTTAAGGATGTATTCGTATGGCAATAATCAAAGAACCGTTTATTCCATTAATAGCAATACAACTACAATTACAAATATTTTATTGCATTAAAACAACACGTTCCTTAGCTCAATCAATTTTCTATACAAATACATGGTTTACAGAAGAGCACAATAATATAATATATGTATCTGCATTAAAGATGACTAGTTATATCGCAAGTTTGCATAGTATATATATTTTGCTAAATTATTAATTATTGCTTTTGATTTTGCACATATGAGATTAACAAATTTCTGTTTAGTTGGCCACGTATAATAATATCTCTTTATATATTTTGATCTTAAGTCCTGGAATTTAGAACATATTAATACAAAATGATACTAATTTTCTATAAGACCGGCATTACAATTACTACAAAATCTTTCATTTCTTGGAATATTTCTATGCCGTCCACGTTCAATAGCCAAATTATGAGAAGATGAACGAAATTTGGATATAGATCCCCTAAATTTCGGTTCAACGATAAAATCCAAATAGTTTTCAAATTCGAATGAATGTTAAAACAAACAATATGTATATAATCTAGACGAGTTATTAATCGAGGAATTCCAACTTTGATAGAATATGTCTAAAATTCGTTGTTTAATTATACTGAAATCTATATGTATAGTAAACTGATTTTCCCACATATAAAACAAGCCAGTCTGCTCTAAAATAGTCTAAACAGCGTATGCCCAGTTTTTACCACTATAAGTTACACCATTGTCGGCATCGGTTTTTAACATAATATAAATTTTATACAATATAGTTCGTTCATTAAGTTTAAGAAGTTTTAACCAGTATTTGATCAATATTAGTTTTCTATTAATGGACATTGGTGTACGACCAAGTTCACCATATAACATGTATAACACATCTACATTGGTTGATTGTTTCACACATAACAATCTTCTACAAAACTTTGTGTGTATAATTTCTATGTTCGGACCAGCGTGATGTCCCCACACTTCTGCAGCATAATTTAATGCTGGTAAAACAATACTATCAAATAAACTTATCATTTGGGAAACTGGAAGTTTCAACTGGTTACATACAATAAATAAATTATGTAGTGAATATGACGCATGTTGCGCAATATATCTTTGAGTTCTGTTCCAGTTTCCATTTTTAAAAAGATACACACCTAAATATTTTAAGGATTCTTCACTTTCAATTCTAGTGTTATACAAAAAGAAATCATAAGATGTATGTCTACCATTTTAAAAAAAATCATAACTTTTGTTTTAGACACATTTAATTTCAGATTCCACATATTGCAATAATGTTCTTTATCATTCAAGATAGATTGTAATGAATTTGGATCATGTGTGAAAACTACAGCGTCGTCTGTAAATAACAACAAAAATACCTGTATATCGTCAATGTTAACAATACCAGGAATGTTCCTATTTATATTATTTAATATATCATTGAGAAAAAATAAACACAATATGCTACTTGCCCAATCTCCCTGTTTTACTCCAATCTTAGAAATAATTAGATCAGAATGCATGTTTTTATATTTTACAAAAGATTTAACAGTACATTGCAGTAAAAAATGTTGTACTTATATTTTCATTCAGTAACTTTCTCCATAATAAAACCCTATCAATACGGTCAAACATTTTTCTCCCAATCTAGAAAAGCTACATAGAGTTTCTTCTTACTCGACAAAGTCTTTGTTATTATACATGTAGAACAAAAATACAGTCAAAAGTTGACTTATTCCTTTGAAAATCATATTAATTATTAATATTTTTTTCATTTAATAAGTCTATCAACCAATAATTTTGAGTATGTTTTGGACAAAATATTATTTAGGGTAATTCCGCGAAAGTCTTTTGCATTATCATGCGTGATTTCTAATATTATGGTTACATGTGTTATGAAAGGTTAAAAATCGACTATCAACTAGCAAATTGTTAATTTTGAAAGAATAATACTGTACAAATTTCAAAAGAGCATTTCTACTATAATAACTACCTCTTATATTTCTTTTTAAATCAAACAAAACATACCTGGTGTGGTGCTATCTTTAATTTTCTCGCAAGTTGCACAACATTGGGTCTGATGTACAATATTGTAACAGTTAGCTGTTCCAAGATTGCTGTCCATTAAAGCCTGACATGCTACAGGGTCTCTATCACCGTATCTACAACCTTATTATCAGCAACAAAATATGCAAATAAATCTTTATTTACTTTCAGTAATATTCACCTTAAAATACATCATGCTACTACAAGACACTATAATTTTTATACTTTTATATTTTATCCGACAATGAAAGGAGTTTTAAGACGAACAATATTACTTAGGCCAATGTTTAATTATTTTGTAGAGGTTGTCACTTGTTAAAATTGGTAAAATGTTTACTTTGATTAAAAACGAAATAAATTTCTTGATAGATCGGCACAAAATTTGTCCTACAAGGGAAGCAACCAATGAGACTATTTTCAAACAAACCGAGTAAGAAAATATACATAACAGTTGTACATAATAGATAAGTCTTAACTCCTCGATTTAGCACAGTGGTGAAAATTCAACATGTGTGAATTATTCATCCTTAAATAGGAACAATTAAAGTAACTGTTCAATATTTAATTTACCAGCATGCCCCTTTTCCTCATATTCTTTGCATATTCCGCAACATTGACTTGCATATCTGCTGCATACGTCAGCGACATTTGGTGGGACTACATTTGCTGCGCAGTAATCTTTCCAGTGGTCCCCATACTCGCATCCTTCATCAGAATAAGTTATCTTATGATAAACCCTTAACGCGTTAAAAGTTTACAATGTACTTTCCCCTCTCTAAAGTGGCATTATGACATAATGACATTTTTTTTTGGTTGGCGAGTTGAATTAGTAATATTCTTAAGAGTTTGACTATTATAATGGTGATTGAAATGATAATGAAAAAATATTAATGATAAAATATAAAAGCTACTTAAATTATAAAAAGACCGTCCACATCTTTTAAAAGATGAACGTAACCGATGCATGTTCCTAACGATATTCATAGAAATATCCTTGTTTTACGTGGATAATTGATTTATTGTGCATAGTTAAATATCAAATGGAACACAGGCATGGCAGAAATCAATGATTTAAGCAATGCGGAGGAAATGTTCTTTGCAAAAGTTAGATATACTGACTTAAATATCAATATAGTTATTAGATGAAAGCTTAATGATACATCTAACGGTCAAAGAACAAGTCAGTTTCGGGTAAATTTGAAAGAATGACATTTATTTTAAAATATACAATATACACACTACAATACGGTAGAATATTCGACAGGACCACTCACAGTGACTTTAATCTATAACACATTTTAATAAGGAACCACTGACAAACACCAATTCAGTTTTTGAGTATTACTTATCTGTTGATATATCAACATACCTGTTTTAGAAGCGTTGTAATACTCGGTGCATGTATCGCAGCATTGTGTTCGTTTGCTTAGACTATAGCAGTTTCCTGGTCCTATACTGTCATTCATCAACTTCTTACACTTACCAACATCAAAATCACCGTAGGGACAAGCTGTAACGAAATGTTTATGAACTTTATCTCTTTACAACTATACCAATATGATTTTACAAGTAGCTAGAAACGTCGCATGTAACTTAAAACTTACAAAACAAAAAACACACACACAACAACATTAGATCTGTAAGAGAGACGATCGATTCAACGTTAAGGTGAACTATATCTTTTAATAAAATAAGTTTATATTAAACATGTATTTAAATAGCCTCAGAATTTAAGAAAGAAATATAAATGTTAGCAGGATATTTAAAATTGTAGTGCACATTTACTTTTCATTATCATTGAGTTTATGGTAAATTTGTTACCTGAGTTCGCTTTGTTTTTTAGTTCTACACATGTCTGGCAACAATCAGCTTCGTTTGATTCACAGTACGCTTTGATGGTGTTGTCTTTTACTTTTTTAGAGCAAATATCCGGATGCATGTCACCATATTGACATCCACCTACACAAAAACAGTCATCATATTTATTTATTTATGCGTTTACTTTTCTATCATAAGTGAACAATGTAAATCTTTTTTAGAGAAAAAAAGAAAAGAAATATACAAGTTGCTCTGCGTATTCTTTTGCTTATTAAATATATTGATTTATTTATATCATTCTTAGTTGTATCTGATAATCATTTGCTGAACATTTTGAAACTCTCGTGCAATTATAGAACACCTATTAGACAATTCAACGAACATGTTGACTAACTTGGCAATGATGTGTTCTTATAAGAAGCACATATATCACAGCATCCTGACTCGTACTGTGAACAATATGTGGCTACATTTGGATAAACTACGTTGGTTTGACAAAATGTTTGGTACTGGTTTCCATAGAAGCATTCTGAAAAGAAATAATTATTGAGTACAAAATTGGTCATAGAATGTCAAAGCCCATCGCATCATTTTAACACAAGCTTTTCAAATATAAGTATTCAAAATTTAGATATTTTCTATGATACGAAACATAGCGGCATTGCGTATTTGTGTAAGTGTAACACAATGGTATGTGATGTTTTACATATTAAATGCATATCTGCATAATAATCCTTTAAAGTACATGGTTTTGAAATAGTATCAGATTTTTATGTTTTACAGACTAATCTTATATTTGAAGGTGATTCCAGTTTTAACACAATTTTAACACATTATAAGTACACTGAAAGATAAGATATACTAGTTATTTACTATCTTTATACTATCCTAAAGTTGGCCAAGGTCAATATGGTTTTATTACATCATATTGCCGTACAACTCTATCCCCTTGTCTCTGGTAAAATGTCAATAAATATGCATGATAATTTGTTTAAAAAGTATTTTACCTGTCATTGGATTCACAGGCGCCAAGGAAGAGGCAATACATTGCGCACCTACACACCACTTAAAATAATCAAAATCGAAAATGTTTATATATAAGAATTTTACAAATATTGTATTACAATTTTTAAAATTGTAATAAATACAAATACACAATGCACACATCATTATTATTATTATTATCATCATTATTATTATCATGACTTGTATTTCATTTATTATGTTTTCACTTTTTAATGGGACCTAATTTGATATAAATTATATCTCAGTTTTTATATATATATATATTAACATAGGTGACACAAATATATTAGAAGTGCTATGTAACAAAACATTAAATGAATTATTTTTGCTTTAAAATTGTTGTCAGATCTTGTAATGAAAAAAATGAAAATATTTGCTATTTGCTTTAATTTATTTCTCGAAGTATCTTACTGGCCGTTTAAAGTACAAAAACATGATATAGGGGTCAAAATGTCTATACAATAGGGGTTGAAAATCATGTAAAAAGGGTGTTAGAGTCAAAGGATCTAGAAGGCATCTAAATATCCTAAGGAATCGAGAAGTCAATGGGTCTACTTGTCTTGCTTGCTAAATGATCGGAATATTTAACAGAGACCACTAGAGCTTGAATTGATACCAGTATGGTAAAAGATCGTTTGCCGTGTCTAGAACTTAACCTTCTTCATTTATGAATATCTATTATATTTTCCTATCTACATATACATTATATTATTTACATATATGTAGCTAGCGTCAAAAAATAAACTTCCATTACCCACAATACGCTGTTCATATTTCTTTTAACTCATTTCATTAATATAGTAACATAGATGGCAACACGGATAAAAGGATATTTTAATTCTTCTAATTAGATACACATACCTTGCCAGGTGCACAGGGGACACCGTCGACAGCTGGTATAGATTGGCAAGTACCAGTTCCGGGATTGAAGCAAAACATATTTGTGCAAACATTGCTGAAATCTTGGTTTTTGTAGAACTGAGTACCCTGTAGATACAATATTTCAACTGTTTTATTGATAAGGATATATTACATCATGACACTTTTATCAAGAGTATTACTGTACTTTATTCACTGTATACACTCATGTATTCACATATAGGTTTTTATTTTTAAAATGTATGTTTAATTGCGACTGCAATTAATAAGCGATATTGCACTCATGTGTTTTTAGGTTTCTATAAAAGACTTAAAAGTGAATTGAAGTAATGTATAGATGATTTATATAAAATTAAAGCCCCTGATTTCCGAGGTGGCAAATTTCTACCACCATATAACCACTGCGTGAATTATGTGGTAAATGAGTCAAGTAATTAGTTAAATACATAACTATCGAGTTATTTTGTTGTTATGGCGTTACGTATCTCGTTGATTTTAAGAAAAACTTCTTAATTACACAAAATTTATGATACTCCAATGCGACAGTTAACTAGTTGTTCGCGTTGAAACTGCAGCTGTGTGCTTTGTCAAGTAAAGATCTAAGTGTTGTAACGTAACTCGTTAATCACATAATAAACGCGATGATTAAGTGTATAGCTAGTTACTAAACTTGTAAATATTATAGTTATCAGTTAACTAAGAGACATTCTGGTGGCTGAAATATGCCAACATAGATTTTTACTTTTCTTATGTCTCATATACGTGACTTTATATAATTGTTATCTATATAATTTGTATTTTACTAGTAAAATGATAATAATGTCACATTTTCTTTTGAAAACTAACGTATGCTAATAACGCGGTGTTAATATAACTAACCTGACAAAAGTAGGACGAAGGTCCATATACGCTCTGGCAGTCGTGGTTGGCGCTAACTGCTGGACCAGTAAAGTTAGCTGAAAAGATCAAACAACTTGAAACAGTTCCGACACTTTTTGACTATACGAAAATCATTTTGAGCAATGTCGAACACGAATAAAAACAAATTATAAGCTAAGTAAACGTTTTTATGTATGTTTATATCAAATAAATACTTAGAGCCAGTTTTACTACAAAGTATCGACGCTAAAAATTTACAATTGAAAGACGGTACAAAACGCTTAGAGTTCATGGTTGAACGTTCTTTCCTCCTTTTAGATATATGATGCAATGATGATGGTTTCCCGGTATGCTTGAAGTTTAATAATTTCTTAATATCTTATCGCTTTCTTTGATACACTTTTAGTTCATTCCTAGTGTAAACATAAGAAATATTAAATATTTGAATGTGAAAATAAGAAACTTATACAGACACAATTATGATATTTTAACTTTTAGTCTTTTATTTATTGCTATTTAGTATTTTATAAATTATTTTATGTAACACCGGTTTTATACCCGGATCTGGTTTAACAATAGCTCCACACGAACCACAACACCACAGTCTCCCTACTTTATCGTCATAGCACATACTAGGCCTCTTGGCAACGATCTGTTTACAATTCATGTTCAATGCTACATCTTGTTTTGCCGTATCTCCCAACGGACATGAATCTATCAAAATGAAGTTTAAACAATTACCAAAAAGAATTCAAACCGAAATCAAAAATCAAAGAGGACACAAAATGTGTGTTGTAACCTTGAGAACAATACAAGAAAACCTGTTTGAGATAAGTACCGCATAACATAAAATATAAACTTGCGCTTTTGGTGGAAAAAGTTGACTTTGAAAGTTCTTTTTATCGAAGGTATAGATTAATTACCAACTGTCACTGTCGGCAGTATTTAAATCCGTTCAAACAAGCGATAAGTATAGACAATAATTTGTTTCATAAACAATTGTCTTAACTGTCTTGATGATATTTTTACAAAGTTAGTTAGATTGGAATAACCTCATAATAGATTGATTCAATGCCCTGATATTTTATCGATTAAAACGATATGAAAGTTTAATCACAAACAACAACATCTATAAGAATAAAAGAAACAATAATGTCAAATAAATTACCTTAGATACATCCTTAGAAAAAATAAAGACATACCTGAGGAAGACAAAGCGTTTGCATTGTCTTGACAAGATTGGGTTTCACACCACTGAAATTGTGTTTCTATATCAATATGTTGTCAATGAAATGTATTAATGTAAAATAGACATATTAAGAATTATGTAAATCAAATTAAGAATCCGTTTATATTTATATATTGTCATTAAAATAAGAATTATGCCACTCAAATAAAGAGGTTAAAAGAACTGAAAATCATATGTAGTTACAATAGTTTGACAGTGGTTGTCCGTTCGTAAAATTAACATTCATGTTTTAATTACGTTTAAAATGCATCCATTCAATAAAACAAGCATCACTTGAGCCGTGTCATGACAAAACCAACAAAGTGGGTTTGCGACCAGCATGGATCCAGACCAGCCTGCGCATCCGCGCGGTCTGATCAGGATCCATGCTGTTCGCTATCAGTTTCTCTACTTGTTATAGGGTTTGTAAGCGAACAGCATGGATCCTGATCAGACTGCGCGGATGCCAAGGCTGGTCTTGATCCATGCTGGTCGCAAACGCATTATGTTGATTTTATCGCGGCTGATTTAAAATCTAACGTTCCTCAAGATATGAATTTGGATAATATCTAACTGCATTTACCTTCCCATTGCCACAAAGTGTTGAATCCTGAGGTGGAATGCTGAAGACACAAGACTTGATGTAAATTGCATCATAACAATACAAGGTGGAGCATATACCTTCATAATTAGTCCTATAGTTGTCATTATCCTAAAATGTAAAATCAATTTTGCTAAAAAATGTCAAACCGAAACAAAAGCTGTAATATAATAAAAAAAGAGAAAGACAGTGTCTTATTATCAAATGTTAGGTTTACTTAAATGTTTAATGTATACACTGGAAGCCTAGGCCATGACTTCCAATAGTTTTAAAGTGATTTTATATATATATCAAACAAAGCAGCACAATGTTTTGATGAGCATTTTAGCTACATGTTTTATGTACTCTACATTCATTGATGTTATATTGTACTTTTCTGCTCCTTCTGCTCCGGGATCATTGATTCCAATAAAAGATTGAAAGCTACTAACAGTGACATTATGCCTATGCAGGGGTATATAAAGTGTCAACAGGTGAAAGTCAGAATAAGTTTACATTTTTGAGACAATTCCTTTTAATTTTATAATTTACTTGAAATGAACGATAAATAAGTCCAGTGTCTCCATAAATTTCTGTAAATGTCGAACAGAATTTATCTGTAACGTTCAATTTACAAAAAAGAGTAGTCATTTTATATTTAAGGCAGATTATTATTTTATCCAAAACATTCTACAATATAAATTGTTGGTCAATCATATTATTACAGTCAGTCTTTTGTCAATTCAGTCCAAACTGACTATGAAAAGAAAATGAGCATTATGTCACTTTAGTCATTAATAGAGGCGTGAGCACAGATTTTGCAATTTCGTTTCCATTATCTCTAATGAATAGCCTGGGTTCGAGTCTGTCGATTTTATATGTGTTTTGTTCGGCAAATTGACATATTATCAAAACACGATCAAGTATGAAATAGCGCGTTTGTTATGAATATGCAAAAATATCAGACTATCTATCCGAGTCTACAATTCTCACTTATAAACTTAGTTTCGAATGCTCTCGAGTTATCTTCCCTTTACCAAGATTGGATAGAAGTAGATCAATTTCTTAAAAGAAGATATAAAAGGTAATACCCTGCACAGATATGAGCTGTTTGAATATGTTCTCTGACAATATTCATCTGGTGATATATATAATGTCGCTCCTGAAATACAACGATACAAATAAAAATATCATAATATATCATACAAATAACTGGTTTTGGTCTCTAAACTAGAAACAAGTTCTTTCACTTTCGGTTCAGTTCCCTGAAACTAGCCTGTTACGGTGTCATGTTAAGATACATGATCGTGATCCGAGTAGTTTATGGAGCCAGGAACCTTGGATTGAGAGGCAGCCATCCTGACCACTACGTCACCGTTATTCTCAATCGGCCACACCGTACAACGCCAAAAATGAAGAAGATTTGTTTTCAATATATTTATTAAACAATATGTAAGAGACACATGGTTTTGCTAAAATAAAATCGAATTTGCTATTAACATACAGTTTTGTATTTTGGTAAAATATTGACATATTTTAGTATATATTAGTAAGTTTGAAACAATGTTTATGTGCTTAGAATTGGAGGAAAACATACATAAAAACATGTATCGACTTTTATCCTGTGTGAAACGTGGCCAATATTGTATTTCGCTATCAGTTATAATACAGTACTGTATATAAAAAGTTCATTAGACAAATATAATGTATGTATATAAAATAAAAATATTATTTTTGTAACCGTTTACAAAATAATGAAAGGTTAGTTTGTTTACACCTTGTTTCTTGTTCTTTAAGATAACTGTTATTTTATCTAATGGATCCATAAGTGTAGGCACATTCAATGGTGCTATCTTTAACACAAAGACATGTTGTATATTTTGTCATGTTATAACACCGAATGCTCTTTAATACGAGTTTAATCAGCTGATAATGTTTGACTTCATTAAAGTTGACGCATGTTCGACCGATCCTAAATTGTACTGAAAAACATCTCAAGTAAAAACGTCAGAAATTTCAAAATCAACACCAGTACGGTAATGCACTTTTTCTGAAATCATCATAATATTCATTTTTTTCCTCTGAATTGATAAGACCAAACCTTTCTTCCATACAACTTGCAGGGTTACGCAAATCAAAATGCAAATCACAGGTGATAGTCAAAGAAAGACTTAACGAAACGTGATGTATTATTCTTTATGAACATATAAGGCAATAGGATATTAATATCTTGTTATAGTCGTAAATTCGCGACGTTAATACATCAGCAAAACAATTAGGTCATAGCTTTTTTCATCCATGCAAATACTGGGATCTTCATCAGTTAAAAATACATAAATGATAATATAATAAAATAGAGAAAAACAGAATCCCTAAAGAAAGCCCAACACAGCAAAATTGTAAAATGTTGCAGGCTCGGTTTGATTGAGCCTGTTCATGGACGGTACTGGAAAATGCAAGTTATCGTCCACGTACCCTAGAACCGACTTAAGCAGAATTCAACATTTAAACACAAAAATGGTGAATTTTTGAATTTAGAAACATCCGCAGATGTGTTCATACGGCGGTTATCATGGAACCTTCAATGTGACACAGCAGTGTCATTCCATTATTCAGAATGTAGAAATCAAGGATATATTATATAAATCTTTACTATGAAGATGGTATTTGTATCCTTCTATCAGCGACGATTTAATTATTATCATCCCGGAGTTAATACGGATTGAAAGCAGTTCTATCACATTACTTCAGATGTAAACAAATACAAACGATGTAATCTTTCTTAAATTAAGTAATGCATTAATTTAACATCCAATGAAAAATAAAGTCAACTCCAAAATTCCATTTTATTTAGTGCCTCCCATTGTTTTCTCGTTTAGCACACATACATTTTATTATACTTTTACTTCGTCCGAATATCTTTTTTTAAAAGATAATGTTTGCTTCACTATACGCAGTTAATGATGTTATAAAATGTATGATATTTCAACAATACACCTTTGAAAACAAATCCTTAAAATATTCATTATACACATAAAACCTTTTTTGTCACAAAGATTAAACCTAGCAGAGTTAAAGGGAAACAACTAAACACGAAATGCTGTTATTATTAACTTGAGGGAAACCAAAAAATGTACTAGGACTTTGAACTGATATTATGTTTGATTATTTGTCGGGATTACCATCACCATAATCGAATCACGCAATTTCACAGCTTTAAAATGATATTCTGATCTGTTATTCCACATTTTAAGTGAAATCAGATTTAACATTCATTGTATATAGACAATGAAATTTGAGAATCGTTATAATGTATTCACCTTTGCAGCCAAAAACTGTGGATTATATATGTTTTTAAAGTTACACGCCGCTAGAGAGAAATCAAACGATTAGAATCAATCTATAGAAAGCAAATTAACAATTTTTAACACAATCCACACAATTCTTGAACATATTTTGCTTATATATTGTATATTTGCCATCTTTGTCGCCGTACTTCATTTTTACCTATTTAAAATTAAAACCCAAAAAATTCCCGTTTTTAAAATTTTCAAGTGCAAAATTCAAATTTTGGAAGGGCCCATGTCTTTTGCCCATGCGGCATTGTCTTGGTGAATTGAAAATTTAATCAAATTTAATTTTAAAAATTTAAAACCCATCTTTAAATGTATTAAAAAAAACCCTTTGAACCTTCTTTAAACCTTTTCCTTTAAAAAGTCCTTACTTTTTGTTTCCTTCTCTTTTAAAATAGCCCTTCATAAACGGGTTCCCCCGGGTTTGTGGAAATAAAAAATTTTACCCCAACAAAAGTTAATTTTCTTTAAATTTCGACAAAAGGCGGGTTTTTATTTAAATTTAAATTTTTTAAACGTCTTTGCATAATTGAAAAAAACTGTTCAAAATTTTAACTTTACGTAAATTTTATGTTGTTTGTCTTTTGGCCCTTATTTGTTAAAATGGGGACTTCATGCGTGGAGAAAGAAAAGGACATTATTTTTAGAAAAAAAAGCAGGTCTTTCAAAAATACGAAATTACCGCCCCAAACCCCCGAACGTCTTCTAGTACAAAATTCCCTTTGGATTTTTATTTGGTTCTAACAGTTTTTAACCCGTATAAAATTTTCAGTAAAAAATTAAAGATTTTCTTACTTTTATTTGTAAATTGCAAAACAACCAATAAATAATTAGGTTTTAAAAGTATTTGTTAAATGATTTTTATCACCCCTTGAAATGACAAATTTGTTACAGAACATTTTTGTTAGATGGAATTAATAAAAAAAAAACTGCTAGTCGTTTTTCGAAAAAATGAAAGTCTTTTTTGGTTGTCGTGGGATAGTTTTTTAAATTTAGGGAATTGTTTTTGATTTTTTCCCGGGTGGTAACAGTTTCAATAATCAGCTAGAAAAATGAAGGGATTTTAATGATAATAACAAAGCTTTTCTCTAAATTTATACTTTATTTGTCAAACCAAATCTATTGAAAAAACTTCCCCCAAAAACCAGGGTAAATAAAAACAAATTGTGAGCTAAAAATTGCATTCCCCTCAGAGATCGGAAATGGCACCATTAAACTAAAAGAATTTTTTGAAATTATAATGACGTGCATTTCCGTTTTAAATTCAAAAATTTAAAAATTCAAATTTTTTTTTTAAAAATATCGAGTTTCCGAGGGAAAAAGTAAGGATCCTCTTTTTGATCCTTTTTAAAAAAGCGAACAGGGGGGGAAAAACATCAAAGACAGTGTCGGGGCAAACTACAAATGTACCCCCTTTTTGAAAAAAAAATTTGCGGAAAATTTTCAAAATAAGAAAATTTAAAATTTGCAGCAAACATTCTAGCCGTATTTCTTCCTTTTAATTCTACTGATTTATGGCTGGGGTAAAGCTTTCAGGATGATGGTCAAATAATGAAGTACAGAGCGAAGTAACAGATTTCAATAGCAAATATAACGTGAGACACACACATTTTATACTGACTCTTTTTTCTATGCTTCCTCAATATCATTTTACCACAAAGAATACCTGCACCAATCTTAGCCAAGACCATATAACTGGATAAGGAATAAAATTAATGCCCTGCAGCTACTGGTACCAAACCTGATACACAATCCAGGGTGATATAAACTTTATATGAACGGATATAGATTTATAAACATTAAAATAACGCTTTTTTATTTTGTCCATTAGTTGAATAAAACTATTTTTAATTATATGTCTTAAAAGAAATTATTTACCAGGTCTGTTAATTTTTTTCAGTAAAAGCCTCCAGCAAAAGTCTACAGTTTTCACTTTTTGGCTTGAATTTTCATTGCTCTGGAAGGAAATATAAAATTGCTACACTTTGACTTCTTTGCTGATAGCACTTTAAATGAATAGAATTTAAAAATCTCGTTTATGTTTAAATAAAAAAAAAAACAACAAAAAAAAAAAACAAAAAAAAAAAACAACAACAGGCCATTGATGGCAAAATTGTACATGTTTAAGACACGGTTTGATTAAGTCTGCTCATAAAAAAAGACAGTTTAGGGTGCAAATTACCTTCAGTGCACCATATAAGTCACCAGCAGACCAGCAGAATTCAATATTTTAACATGTATTTACTAACGTGTCCAAGTATGAATCCTTTCCGTAAATAAAAAAATGTTATAAAACCATAGTTTCACTAAAACTCAATAATTTGACAACCTCTGTCAAGGTCAATCAAAGGTCTAGACTTTTAATGAATGATTCAGTTGTTTCAATGCTTTGAAAGTTCCAAATCGTTCATTTTCATTAAATAATACATTTCTATACAGAAAACAAAAAAAACGGGTTAAATTGATAATCTTTGTTTTAAACCCAAACCGTTTTTTAAACTTCGCTAAAAAGCATGCGCATGAAAAGATGAAAAATACACCCGTAAAAAAAGAAAAGTGGGTTCAGAATTATATAAATGGGACCGCCCCCATCAAAAATTAGATTTTTTAATAAAATTAAAATTTCCTGTTTTACATTTAATGCAAAAAAAATTTGTCCCCCAAACTTTTTTAGAAACGAGTTAAAAGCCCAAAAAAATTTTAAGGAACTATCCCGGGAAATTTTTCTTTTAAAAAAAAGAACGGCAATTTTTTGCGGTTTCGACTTTTTTGAATAAAAAACTAGAAAATTTCTTAAGAAATTCTTTTAAATATCTTTTTAACAAAATTTTCCCTTTTCCCCTTCGGGTTTCCCTTTAAAAGATTTATG